ATTGTGAAATAAAGCATATGCAGTGAGAAAGCAACTCCCGGAGTCATCCCTGCCTTAAAGCTGCAACACTTTGCTGTAATGATATCTGTTTTTATTTGGCTTTCATTGGTATTCATTGTTAGTTTTGAACTACGAAGTTGGATTTTGGTATTGTTATATGATTATAGCTGCATTTGGTAGTAGTGTTGATTTTTTACCTTTTGTTTCTACCATTTTTCATGGATCAGTCTCCTCTCCAAAGTCCTTTTGTTTTTATCACATTTTACTTTCTGCGTTAGACATTTCCCTTTTTAGATTTTCTGTCTTTCATTTTATTAGCTATGTGTCCTTTGTGCTTTGTCTTTAGAATTGCATCCTCCCTCATTACCTTCAATTATTTTCAACTTTTTTTTCCAAGGTGTTTCTACTCACCCTGATTAGAGAAAGCATTCTTTTTGTTATCCCGCCTTGTTTGTTACCAGCCTGTTTTGGAAAGGCACCTTAATGTGGAAAGGTATATACAGGTTTTAGAGCATGAAGGAATTTTTATGGAGGCTTGGATGAAGCCTGAGTGATGAGGGAGAGGCAGTGACAAAGAGGAGCTGGGTTGCACGAAGGCATCTGCAAGGGAGAATGTCAGATGTCATGTGAAAGTGAGATTTAAAGTAGGCGGAGTGAAGGCTGATTGGGCTGAAGAAAGCTGGCAGAAAGATGATTGGACTAGATCGGTGATGTCACAATTAGCTTGACAGCGTTGGAAAATGAAAGTGACTTAAAGCTTAGATTAGTTGTCAACACGTGGGAAAGCAGACAGATGTAGACTCCAGATCTTCCTCATCGAACTTACACATAAGCTACACCAGCACGACTAGAGTAGAAGTCTGAGTTCTGAACCGACATGCATGCAGTCCAGACCCTTTACCTCCTTAAAAAGGTTTGGAACATCATGAAACAATAAATGCAACAACGAAGACCGAGGACTCTTGAGCAGCTAGAATCCTATATCATATTTATATCATATTTTCTCAGTCCCACACATTTACAGACTGTTGTTAAAGGAGGATGGGATGCTACACAGTGGTAAACACGGCCCTGTCCCTACTTTTCTGAGCCTTGTTCGTGTCATCAAACTTATAATGAGCCAATATTTGTCTTGGTATGGTACATTTTCTCAGTTTAAACATTTGCTATGTTTTGTTCTATTGTGGCGTCGTAGGTTTTATTTATTTCATTTTAGTTTTAATGTGGAAGTTTTGTGTCACTCTACAATATCACAGTTCAGACTCATTTCTAACAATTACTGTTTGTTTGTTAAGTCTTACTTCACTTTACTTTGTTTGGGAACTCTACTGCTATTTCAGTGTGCATCTTAATGTCCAGTCTGTTCTCAGAGACCATTTTCACACAGTGTTACACACAGCACACTTTTGTGTTCAACGTTTAATTGGACCAGAGAATATGAACCTCCTGTCACGCTCAAAAAATAAGGAGTGTCTGCACACCAAGCCTTGTGTGTTTGATGACCTCCATTCATGTGACAAAAAGGAATTTAGCTTCAGATTCCACAGAGTGGCTGACTAAATCTGTCAGATATTTTTAGTGACCATTGAATAGCTTTGACTGGATGATCTGATATCGTCATGCTGGTGTTGTTCCTGGAACAACATAGTAAATGTTGTTTCGGGATCAACATTGCAAGTGACCAATCACATTGTTGTGACGTTATTCTTTGGCGCGCCAAGCCATTCGTGCATTTATGAAATTCCAATGTTGCAAGGACAATATCAATTCTGCTTAGTGTTTATTAAAGGGTTAGGGTCAGGGTCCATTGATCGGCGGACAGAGGCGGTTTCTCGCAGCTTAAGTACAGTTTCTTGTTTTACGGCGATTTTTTCCGAAGTCGGATTTGGATAAGTTTTGAATTGTGATATTTTTACTTCTTTTAAGTATAAGTAGAGTAAAATTTGAGGAAACAAAATGTATATTCACTGCTACTATTTGTATGTCACTTTTAAAAGTTTTAATAAAGATGTTCAGTTTTTTCTGTATTACAGCTTTACTTTTAATGGTGTTTCCAAAACACAGAAGTATATCAGAGAAATGTATTGTAGCTCCACCTTTGTGCATTGGTGGAAAAGTTTCGGGTTTGACTGAAATGAAACTGAAAAACTGACAATGCATTAAAAAGATGCAACAACAGGTGACAGGTCACACAGTGGAGCACCGCTGTCAGGAGCACAGGTAGGCTGCTGGGCAGATAAGTGTGTTTAAGCGTCTTTAAAATTTAATTTTGTTCGTTTGTGTTCTTTAAAAAAAAAAAAAAAAAAAAATATATATATAATATTATATATATATATATATATATATATATATATATATATATATATATATATATATATATATATATATATATATATATATATAGTATCTGTGTCTATAGATAATATTATAACAAATTATAAAAACATCCAGGTTTATTTTTCCGTTAGTAAAATATAAGTGACTTAGAGATTAAAATTCAAGCATTTGACACTAGATTGAATTTAAAAAAAAATCTGTGATGCATCTTAACACATAAAAACTTGGAGTTTCATTTAAGACAACATTTCCTAGGATTTTAATCATTGATTCAAGTTTCACTCATAAAACAGTACAAAGAAATATCGAGTAAATCACCAACTTTTTAATCATCACATTAATTGCTTGTTAACTCACTTTTATTCCTGCATAAACTAAAGAATTAATAATAAATAAATAAGAATTCATTTTACAATGTGAGGTAAAGACTTTGATATTCTAGAGAAAACCTCAATAATCCAGAAATTCCCCATTTGTAAGCACTACTGCAATGGTGGGAAGTAAAAGCTCCCTTTCCACAGGACAAACCTCCGGCAGAACCAGTCCTCCAGGCAAGAAGTGCCTCAACCAGTTGGGGAGGTGAGGAGAAAGTGAAAGGAAAATAGAAAGAGAGTGTAAGACAGGACAAAACACAGACTGCAAAAGAAAAGACCAGTGAATGACATGCTGCAGTGGTATATGTGTGTTTAAGAATGTGTTTAAAAGAAAAATCATTGTGCCTTGGGCTTTGCTTAGATGTTATCTAAAGTCATGTAAATTAAAATACATAACTTTAGACTGTATGTCTAGTGTTTCACAAGTTGTATAACAGCAAGTTGTTATCATTGATCCTGATCCAGGGTATAGGGTATGTGCACAGCTATGCATGAGTTATGTGTGTAGGTGTGTAGAGAAATGAACTTGGGTTGACTCAAATAAAATATAATAACATCCATTGTCGAACTCTAAAAATAGATTATGCAGACACTGTGAGTATAGTGTGTATTAGAACTGTGATGATTCAATCAGTAACTCAACTTAATTAAAAAACAAATTCTGCATATATGCTTAATAAACATCGTGTTATAACATTATATAGCTAAATGTAGTCTAAATATGCTGTTAGCTACTTCAAGTTGATTGGGATTACTATAAAACCACAAGTTATTTTGATTGTTGCTTTTAATTTTATTTTACTAGGCATTTATTAGTTTATTACTGAAAACTGTTTGAAGCTATAATGTTACAGAAACAGAACTTTCCCTATTTAACTTCCTGTTTTCATCTGGCTCTGTGTGAAAGACTGTAACATGTAATCTGTAACACTAGAGGGTGCCTAATCACTGTCCACACATTTCCAGATTGACATCAAATACTCCATGACTACAATATAAGTGATTTAGAGATTTAAATTCAGACATTTTACAATAGCTGTAATTAAAAAAAAATCCTCAAAACTCCCCAAGACATAAAACTTCAGTTCTAGCTCATTTTTTTATTATTATATGAATTTGTGTTGAATCACCCTCATGGGTGGATCACAGATTACTTATTTAATTCTTCCTCCATTAAGATTGAAAAAATAATGCACAATGAAAAATAATACACTGTAAGTCAAAATCTACTGATCACATTTTCTGGACAGTGCATGTCTTTATACCTGCTTGTTTGCACCTTATCAGTCCCCTACAGATACTCAACTCATCCAACATGGAGCAACACTTTTGTCACTGCGGCCGGTCTTTCCCAACTTACCATGGCCTGAGAGTTCACCAGGGAAGGATGGGCTGCACACCAAAGGGAATGAGGATCCCTGAAAGTGGGCAATCTAGTTTCCATCCTATGCCGGCCTTTATGGGATCTCTAATCAGACGAGAGCCTTCGATGGGCATGTCTATGAGTCTGGATTATAGTGAGTCTACCAATGTGTTTGTACAGTGGTCAGTTTGTGTTGCTACAGGGTCGGGGTGTGACTATCTAACTAAAACTCACTGGTTTACAGTGATAATCTATTTTCATGTTTTAGATAATTACTTTTTTTAGAACATTTGCCCCATTTTTGTCAAACTTACATCAATTAAATCTACAGTTTCATCAAACATGATTTCTTTTTTGCCATCTCCTATGATATTTAATATGTACTATGGCTTGGTTTTTACAGTTTCTGCACTGAAAAAACAAAGACAAAAACACATAGCTGATAACTGATCACTGGAGGGTTGTCTGATCCTCCAGTCAGACAACCACAGTAATATGCACAGTTAGATGTTTAAGTTAGTTCATGGCAGGAACAAGACTCTGAAGAACAACATGATAACACTGATCTTCTTTTCTTACAGGGGCTCAAGAGAGACAAGAGCGAGAGGGAGAACGAGCAAGACAAGAACGAGAGAGAGAAGAGCGAGAGAGAGAACGAGCAAGACAAGAACGAGAGAGACAAGAAAGAGAGAAAGAAGAGCGAGAGAGAGAACGAGCAAGACAAGAACGAGAGAGACAGGAACGAGAGAGAGAAGAGCGAGACAGACAAGAACGAGAGAGACAAGAACGAGAGAGAGAACGAGAGAGAGAACGAGCAAGACAAGAACGAGAGAGACAAGAAAGAGAGAAAGAAGAGCGAGAGAGAGAACGAGCAAGACAAGAAAGAGAGAGACAAGAACGAGAGAGAGAAGAGCGAGAGAGAGAACTAGAGAGGGAAAGGGAGAGAGAACGGGAGAGAGAGAAGGCTAAAAGGCGACAAAAGGTACTGCAGTTTCAACACAGTGAATATACAGTCATTCATTACCAGAGTTTCATCCTCCAAAACTGAAGCACAAGGTAGTACCTCACAGACAATCCTGTCGGATAATTCCATTAGACGAAGCACAGAGGTGGAGTTCAAATACTCAGATTACTTGAGGTAAAGCCTCAGAGACATCAACAGGCTACGGCTGCCTGTGACTGCACACTTTGAACCAAGGCCACCACAGGCCCAGCTTCAAACCTTACCAGTATGCAGTTAGATCGGTCACGATCCAGATTTGCAGGAAACTATCTTTAGATAAAACCTAAACTGTTCTTTCTGTGTGCCAGACTGTAAACAAGCTTTGAAATGCTGTATGGTTTAACTATGAACACACAACAGGTGCAGAAGAAAATTATTGGGCGGTTTAATGACCACTTGAGCCAGCCTTAAGTGGTCATTACAAGAACTGCACTTTATTGGCTCTTCATTAGACACATGAAATAAACACATTAACAGTTAGGTAATGAACTGGCTGTTTTTCTAGCTTCACCAGGAGGTTAACATTTGTGACATGGCTCACGTAACTAATGCTTTTTTATGACAAACCTGAAAAATGTGTGACTCTAGTACTGGCAAATCCAAACTACGCAGTGACTCACAGAGCTGCTGACATGACTGCTAGTATAAACTTTGAGTATTTTAACATTTTCCATTGTCCCTTTTCAAGGAAAGACAAGAAAAGATGAAAGCTGATTTACGGCAGAAAATTGATTCCCGAGACCACAAGATGGCCGAGGTCAAATCATCTGAAATAAACTGCAATGTAAAGACCGCAACATTTAAAAAAAAAAAAGAAAATCCTTTATTTTGATATTGCTTTGACGCCGTTACTCTCTTATGGCTATTCAGGGTAGCTTGGATGCCGAATGGCTGGAGATCAACAGTTTCTTCTCAGAGGTGATGAAAATTGTGGAGGATGCTAAAGAGAAAGCATGCCAGACTCTGGAGGACAGGTTGGTCCTGTGAGGCTCAGTAGAAGTTAGTCTGTCAGCATCGTTGAAGAACATTTTAACATCGCAAGGATTCTTTGTGCTCCTTTGCTGCATTATGTTTTAATAAAATGGATTCCCACGTGCCCTCTCTGTCATCTTTAGGAGACGGAAAGTGAAAAGAGAAGCACAAGATCTCACCCACAAGCTGCAAAGAGAAATTGATGTGCTCAAAAAAGCCACTGATGACCTAGACAACAACCCAGACTTGGAGGTGAACCTCAAGGATCTGAGATCCATCTACTGGAGTATAAATTCCCTTAAAAGAGGAAAAGTTTCATTTACAACATCTGTGCATTTTCAGTGTTATTTCTGATTCATTCAAATTAATCGTGGCTGCTGTAAGCTAACTTTTACCTTTGCACACATGCACAGCTTTCTCCTGTAACAGGCCTGAAAGAATCTGCTAACTGGAAAACTTTATGTGACAACACTTCACTCTTCTTCGGGACACTGCGAGGTACGACTTCAGCCATGATGAAGCAAATTGGCCAGGAAATAGAAAAACTCGCATCCAAAGGTAAGTCTTTTGGTCTCTCGTGACTTGTATTAATTTAACTTTAGACATACTGCAGCTTACTCAAATGTGTGTTTCCACAGACCTCGAGAGGATTTCTACATTTGCAGGTGCGTATTTAAAAAAAAAATTACAGCAGTATAAAAACAATGTTAACAGTGAGTAAAAACAGGGAACAGGTGTGCATGTCACAGTTTGGTGGGCAAGCCGTGCGTAAATTATTAAAGGACCCTTTATGCAGGCAGCTCAGATGCACTGAGTTTGTGATACAAACAGATACGACAAGGGTGACCATGGAAACTAAGCAAAACCTAAACTTGGAAAACTAACAGAAACAAACCAGAAGTAGAGATGCAGGGAGATGCAGGGAGATTCAGGGAAACGACTTGGGAAATACACAGACGAACCAGCAACGCACACCAGAAAACACAGAGCTTATATACACAAAGAGGCAATCAGGGAATGAGAAACAGGAAGAGACACAGCTGGGGAAAATTGGAGCTGACGAGACTGAGAGATATAAAAGCAGAATACAATAACCTGAGACACTGACCTTCAAAATAAAACAGGAACTCACACATACAAAGAAACAGACTTTACATAGAGGGAACACACAGGTAGGGATGACTAACACTAAACTGAAGAAGAACCAAACCAAAACCAATGAGCTAGAAACCACAACCAGAATATATTACAATAATAGAAAACAGAAAACGCTGGGTCAAATGACCCAGGACCATGACAGTGCACCAGATTTTCAACATAAAAGCCCTGTTTTATTTTAAATTTTCCTTTTAAAGGAAAACCAATATGCTTATAAAATAATAATGACATGTTCAAAATTAGACATCAGTTTGATACAGTAAGTCAGTTTTCAGAATAAAAGCCTTTGATTTCAGTTTTAAATATGTTTTTAATTTCTAGAGTTGAATTTGTTCTTTTGCTAAAGTTAAGTAATTTCTAAGCACAATTTAGTATGCACTTCCCCAATCTAGGATATTATTTTCTCATGTAATTTTCTGCGTTTGTTTAGAAAATAATGGCAAAGATCAGTTTAATAGTATCCAGAATTTATTTATTATTTTTCACTTGTTATCCTGTTGATACCTAGAGCTGGTGATATAGAGAAACCATATAACACAAGTATGTTGTTTCTGAACTGGGTGGGCAACCCATCCATCTTTTTCCTAAAATTCAACAAAATGAATTTGTTGCATTTGAATATTGTGAGAATTGAAATCTAGCACAGATATTAGACAAATAACATTAAAAAACATTAACAATAAAACAAATTAAAGCCCTAGCTGGCTAAGCAACCTGTTTTATTTAGTAAGTCTTCTCTGTTACGGTGAGGTCTGGAAAGGTCAGTCTGATTGGACTCCAACAATACTTAGTGCCATATTTTGGTGTGATCGAGCCCTTCAACAAAAATGTTGATTAAAAAAAGGAATAAAGAGTGATTTTTATGTGTTGACCTATGTGTGATGTTTATAGATCTACTTACCACATGGTTCAGTTTTTTTAATTAAGTGTATTCTTTTGACTGTAGTGGACGTGAAGCTGGACCCGACTTCTGCACACTCAAGTCTTGTAATTTCTGATAATGGGAAAGAAGTGAGAAAAGGTGGAAAAACAGCAAAAGATCCTGATTCTCCCCAGAGGTCTGATATATTTGGAAGTGTCCTGGGGCTCAACAGGCTGAAATCAGGGAAATCATACTGGGAGGTGGAGGTCAGCAACAAGACCGGGTGGGATCTGGGTGTGGCCAGATGTGATGCTTACCGCAAGGGGAAATTTTTAGTGACCCCTGACAAAGGTTACTGGGTTATTGTCTTTTATGGAGACAAAAAATATGCAGTCCGGACAACACCGCCCGTGCACCTTCCATTTAAAGGGAAACCTCGGAAAGTCGGGGTGTATGTAGATTATGAAGAAGGGCTCGTGTCCTTTTATGATGTGACGTCTCAGTCTCACATCTATTCATTTACTGAGTGTTCGTTTGGTGGTGAGATCCTCCCGTACTTCAGTCTCCATCTGAAACCAGATGAGAAAAACAGCGATCCTTTGATTATATCTGCTATGGAAAAGCAGTAGTAATCACATGCACTGGTTTTGGAGCAGTGAATGCATCAGTTATAGACATTATATATATTAAAGTGGGAATTTGATTGCCTGGGTTTCCATGTTCTTTTCTTATAATGATAACATGAATCAATGAAGGTACAATAAAGGCATGGGTTTTAGAATTTTCTTTTATGCACTATATAGCAATGCTAGCAATGCAAATGTATACATATTATGGGGATGCACTCTAAATACTGTTAATTATGATTATGTGCAAAGGGATGATTTAATAAGGATTCTTCTCTTGTTATTGGTTGTGTTCACATAAACCAGAGTTTCCCAACCTTTTGGAACCACAGCACATATTTCACATTAGAAAAATCACAAAATCCACCACTATTGACACCCTGTCATATCTAGGTGTGTGTCAACATGTTAAGGTTGGCACGTTAAGCATGTTGTTTCCAGAGCTGCACCTTTCAACCAAATCCCGTATATTTTACTTGTGAGCAATTTGTTATTTCAGCCTTATATTTGTGTGTTCAGGTCAATCAGATGTTCAAATATATCTGCCAGATACAGCAGTCTTGTACACCACTGGTCCCTTGAGAGTAACTTGACGTCCTTCTGGTTTGTGAAAAACACTTTAAGTTCTTGATTCTTGCAGTCTTGGCAACAAGTACTTCCCGGTGCAGAATATAATGCATTGCAATGACATCTAGATGTTGCTCTTTCACTCCGTTTACAAATCCTTTAGTGTGCCCGAGCATGGCAGCTGCTCCATCGGTGCAAACATGTATGCATTTTTGCAATTCAGCAACTTGTTAGCTTTAAGTGCTTTATTGGTCTTATTAGTGGTTTTCCTCATTAAAGCTGCTTGCGTCTCAGTCTGTACACGCTTGAAGTGATGGGTGTTTTGTCTGGAGATGGTGTTTAAGTTTGCTTGGAACCAGGCGTAGCAGAATGGGCTCAGTTGGTTCTCCAGTGTATGAGAATCCAAAGGCAAGATAATGTTGTCATGATTTTACTTTTTCTTTTGCTTTCTTCCACTATTAAAGCCAGGGCCATCTGGGTTGGAATTCTCTCTAGGACCCAGGCCAGATTGACGGTTTTTGTTTTCAGTTATTTAGTAATCGCTATTCCCTGCAGTTTTGTCTCACTCGCAGCTCGACTTTGTACTTTTGTATTTCTTCTTCATCTTCATCTTGATGGTGGTAAGGGCAGTACAATTAAGTGGATCTGGTGGATGAGAATGTGTTGTGTCCTGTAATGATCGTGCCATATTGCACCACTAGAGGGTGGTGTCGTGAAATAAGAGTAAAGTGGAGTTGGTAAAGTTTTAGAGTTAAGAGTATAGTTAGACGGCTAACTGTTAACTTGTTGTGTCTCCCTGTTACCTCTACGATGTAAAGTCTGTGCTGATTTCATTAAAGAGCACTGTTCCTTTATGAGGACTGGTTTATTACCGGCCGCTACTACAGAATGTAATTGTTCAGCCTGTCACAACACGCCACTTGCTAAGAGTACCAATCAGGTGAAATTGGATAATCTTCCACGGCACACTCAATGATTTCTAATGGCATACTTATGTTCCGTGTTTGGGAAAAGCTGATTTTAACCACTACCTCAAGCATTTAGTCTACAAGATGCTTAATTCCACAGACCCTCCTTGTTACTTCACACATCTGTTGAACAATTTGTCTCACTGGGCAGTTTCAATCCTGTAAACTGTAGTCTACATGAGTCACTTTAAATAATCCATTTACAGCATATAAGAAATATGTTTTACACAGATATAGACAAGAAACAAACAAACTTCTATCTAGGGAATATTTTTTAATATTTTAACTGTGTTTGTAATGATTAAAGAATGAAATATGTTTACGATTTTAGTTTTATTTATTTTGTAATTTGAATAAATCCAAACCTTAATGAAACCAGCTGTATATTGTCTCCTTTACTCTTCCTTTAGCCCTAGGAGTGCAGGGATTTTAGAGAAGCAAGTTTGCAGCTGACATTAGTAAAAAAAAAATACATTTTACATTAGCTACATTTTTAATAAGCTACAGCACACTGTGGTTTAGCTATGTCTGAATTCTAAAGGCTTTAAGGGCCACCTGATTTTTCAGATTTTTTTTTAGCTTGACTCTTTCTTAGAATAACAGTGAGGAACCCTACAATCTGTTTCATTTCTTCATTTCACCCATGCAAGCAAAGTTTAGAAAACACTTCCTGTGAAAGTGAATTGGCCAGACACTTTTTAGCACTCACTAATGTTAAGAGAAAATTTTAGACTAGTAACATTAATGCTATATTTTTCTGTGAAGCTCTGCCTTACAGTGACATTAGCTCCACATTCATAGTCACTGTAGTGCTGTGAGACCAATACAGAAGCTGCTGCTGAGCTCTGTGTTATTATAATCATTTTGCCTCAGATGTGTGCAACATCAGCATCCACTATATTGAAATTAAAATAAAAAGTTTTAGCAGGTCTGCTGTGTGTCCTGCTCATGCCTGGGTAACTGACCCCTCCAAACTCTCCTCTCTCAGCATGGCAGTTGAGCGCTCCTCTTACACATTTTCAAAACAGAAACTGGGTTAATGACAGGGCCAGTATGATTAAAAAAGCTGACCTAAACCACATAAATCATGAAGCATAACAGTTGTTGGCATCTCAGATTTAGAGATCAAAATCCACAGTTATACTTTTTATACCAGCAGAAAGAAACTGATGTTTCAGTCGGTGGCTTTCCTCAGTGTTTCGGAGACATTTGTGATTTGACCACAGAATCAATAGATCACACGGTTTGTTTGTTTGATTGTTTGTTTTAACTACACCTCAGAGTGCACCGTATGCTTAGTGTTAGAAGTGGTTATGTAAGCATATCTTACATTATTAGCAAAGACTCATTACGTTAATAATTATTATAAAAACTGTTATTAGTGAAGGATATGCCTGAAGGGAAACTTTGAAGTATCTCCTTAAAAATGGCAAGACAACCAGAAAACCACAAGTAACAAGAGGTGGATTTACATTTGGAGCCTTTAGGTCATTTCTATTTACAGTAGTGGTTTTTATTTAATGACCAGTGAGTGAAAGGACACTAAGATAGAGTCTTAACTCAAGGTGAGCTTTGAATGTTGACTGGAAATCCAGAAATCTGAAGACATTACAAAAGTCCACAAGAGCAACGGGAGCAGAGTGTAGACATAATGTAATATAATTGTATTGTATAAATGTAATATATTTACAACGTAAAGGCGAGGCATTTGCACACACCGAGACTAATGAGAGGAAGTGGAGGCAGCTGGTTGAGAGGCAACATGAGAGGCAACAGGTGGCAAAGCGAGACAAAGGAAGCAAAACTAAGGACTACCAAAATAACACAAAAAGTAACTAAGCAAAGAGACAAAGCATATAACATGCAAACATGTGCAAACTCAGTTGGAAAGAGAATACAGTCATGTGTCAGAATATAAAAGAGACCAAGAATAACTTTTGCAGGTGTTAGGCAAGAAGATGAAGCAACACCAACAAAGAAGAAGAGAGAGAGAGAGAGAATAAGATGAGGTTTAGATGTAATTTCCCTTTCCCAAATAAATATGGTTTCATTTTTTTGTATCTGAGCACACATTTACTTTGTAGTCTTACACTTACACCTACACTTCAGGTGAAATTACTGAGTTTTACTAAAGAATGATTTGTGTTGCACTTACATGTAGTACTGCAAATGCTATGCAGGTAAACAACTCTACACTAAACGGAGAAACGGGATATTTGCACACACTGGAATTTGTGACATGGAATCAGTTTTGAGATGAGAAAATGTGATTTTGAGTGTTGTTGAGTGTTTTTTGTGCTGTGTGGGGTTTTGATAAAGCGGTTTACTCTTTTCAGTTGTGTTTTGTAGAGTTTTGAAAAACTGAACCACAGTTTCTTGTAAAAGGGACCATCCTGCTGATTTGTCATTTAATGCTTGTAAATGTTTATAGTCCTCAGAAAGTTTGGATTATTTTTTACACTCTCGTTGTGCATTTTTCAATAAAGATAAACATGAATTATTATTATTCTTAGTCAGTTTGGTTAAATATGTCAGCACTGGTATGTCTACAATACTATTAGTTAGTCTCCTCGAGGTCTGGTGCAGTAGTAATCTGAGAAAAATCAAACAGGTTCGGGTTCATTTATTCATAACCTGAAATCACTCCATCTGCACTGCACTTCTTTTTGATGATGCACTTTTTTATGCTTCCTTTTTCTTTGCCTTTGACTGTTTTGATTCCTGTTATTTGGAGAAAGATGATTGGTTACAACTAAAAGATAAAAAGAGGAAGCAAGTAAAGGATGTTGCAGTACTTCTAACCCACCAGAGCACCAGGTGATATCAGTCCTCCACAGCAACAAGGAAAGGTAAGATGACTTTTCTGTCTCCTGGCTCGTATTTTCCTATACAGTTAATGATATTGAAATTTCATTTATCAGATGAAATTGTGTAATTTTGCAATCTTGTGTACTCACGTTTTTTTCTTGATATAAGAGTCGTATTGAGATGTTAAAGGAAGAACACCGATTAGTGGCACTCTGCACATGATCCTACCCTACAGTAATATAAGAGTTACCAAACACTAATGTACAATATTGCAATGTGATGTTAAAACGTATATGATACTGTATGTTGATTTTGTTTCTGGATGCTGTTTTTTTTTTTATTTGAATGCACAGCATATTCATTATTTTAAATGATTTGTTGAGTGTATCCTTTTTAAAATATGTTTGCTAATCAGTATTGCCTTCTCTGTCTGTGTAGATTCGGAGTCATCCAGGTCAGTGCAGCGGAAGTACCTTCAATTAAAGGCAACTGGACTTCTTTAAGTTTCTTGAAGTCAAAGTCAAATGTATTTATAAAGCACATATATAAAAAAAACAACTGTTTACAGGTGCCATAAATTTAAAATAATCAAAAAAGTTGAAAGCATAGGAGGGTTAAACTAGTGATATCATAGCAGAGAATAATTGTAATATTAAATAAAATGCAAATATTAAGTCATGTTAAAAATAAAAACTATACTGTATTTTTTCAAATTTATTTTACAGTGCATTTTGGGACAAACTTGTAACTGAAGAATCCTCTGAGGGTGACATATCTTCCAAGTCCAAGTCCTGTTGCCTTCTTTTCAACCTCATAAGATTGTTGCCTTCTCTCCTTTTAACTGCAGATAAAATGAGATTCATTGTCTTGATCACCATCATCGTCACTGTAGCCCTTATTGATGGGGGCATCAGCATGACCGCGGGGCCTTCATCACCGTGTCAGGACAAAAGTCCCAAAAGTCATTATGAAGAATTTGTAAGCAGACACATCCTTCAAGAGGAATTTGACAGAAATTCCATAGATGCTTGGAAAAGGTAAATTAAAAGTAAATAATTCAAAAAAGTTTAGTTTTATTGTGTGCAGTAGGAAACAACCTTTAAAGTAAAAGCTTACAGGCTTCAGAGGGTTAAGTGCTGCTACACCACATGGTGCTGCTTTATGAGCATCTTCATGTGATGTCATTAAACTCAGCATTTTATGTGTGTGGAATTGTTTTACAAATAAGAGAACAGATAATAATATTATTATTATATTATTATCTCTATGTACTGAAATATTGTTCTATTAATGCAGGTATTTGAAAAAAGAACACCTCTGGTGCAGAACTACAGTGCAATCGTTCCTCAATAAAAGTGATCTGGAGACCGTGAACAGAATCTGCAGCAAAGACGGGCGACGCTTAAGCAAGACGGATAACTATGCAGGGAACTTGTGCATCAGCAACTCAGAAATGCTGATATATGACATCGCATCCAGGAAAAGGAACAAGGATTGTAAAATTAAAATTGGTGCAAGGAAAAGGGTTGTGATTGTGGCATGCGACAAGGTTGGAAACCAATGTCTCCCTGTTCATTTTCAGAAATATGAACAGCAGAGAGCAAGCAATATACCCTGCAGTCCTGCAAGGAATTTCAGTATTGTGGTAGAATAGCTTTCAACTGATTAATTTCTAAATTCAGCAACTTTGCATTGTGTTAGTGCTTTAACCCTTTTTTTTTACCAAGTCCTTATTTGGTAATTTTGTCTGTAAAGGGGTCTTAAATCATACTATATGTGAATGCTTTTGCCATTCTTTTTTTCAGAATAACCTCAACTTTCAATATCTGGCAGTCATTCTACATCACTGTATTGTTATGGCAATGCAACAACAGTTTACGTGGGGAAAAAATAAATTAAAAAAGGATCAGATTTCGAGTTAAGTGAAAACTGATATTCAAAACGAACAAAATGTAACACAACATCAAGTTTAAATATGAACTGTACTAAATATAATGTATAAAAAAGTGTTTACACCTAGATCACTTCTCTCAAGCTCAAAGAGTTGATGAGTTACAGTAGTACAAAGCTCACGTGGTAAATTCTAGGCAGAGTTGAGTTTTCTTTCTGTGTTCAGATAGCATTAGCTTTAGAATCAGCTTTTCTTTTTTTGAAACCATTCACATTTTTTTCCCTAGCATAAACGATGACACAGTTACAGTCATGTAAATAGGGCTTGGAAAATGGGCCCGTCAGCTGGCTAATGGTGAATAAAGGGTTAATGAATTTTTCTTTAGTTTTCTTTTGATCCATTATTGAAAAAAGAATCATAGAGAGTTTGATAACAAATGCAGCATCCAAATTTCTAGTATTTAATCTGTGTAAGAAACATCTGTTTAATGAGTACTTCTAACTAGCTGTATAATATTTGGATTTTAGAACTACTTAGTTTTTGAAGTTGTGTTTTTGATAGTAAGACCACTCCCACTTGTGTCATTCAAAATAAAAACTGATGTTTTTTTTTACATTTGTATCCACAAAAACAGAATGGTGTAACTTTGTTCCTGTTTATTAGATAAAGTAGTGTAGCACAGCAACACAGTCTTGATTTTGGTTTGCTTAATTAAACTTAATTTACATCCATATTTGTTTATAATCACAAAACTCTGCTTTAGTGGCAATACGTAC